TTCTTTCTTTCTTGCAATACGTAATAAACCAAGCATTAATTGAACTTGTTCTCAGAAGGTCAAACGAAGATCAATTTTCTGTCAATGCTCAAAGCAATCGTGTTTTTATCCAAGATGCTTCTACTACTCGTCAAAGCCCAACTCAACCAACACAAACATCAAAATCCCTGGTCTGGGCAAAAAAAGTCTGATATATAGATTTTAGAGCATTTTTACCTTTCCATTGCGCCTAGGATCCAAGTAAGGTAAATTACGAACAACAATGATTCTCCAGAGACCAACTTTGTTGTCACTGCCAAGCTCGCTCGAGTTCCTCAAAAAAGCTTCAGTTTCACCATCCACAAACATGTGAAAGCAAACATTCTGTTTGGCGAATTCACTAATGTTCTTTGGTTGTCTTATTAAATCAAAGGCTCCTGTTCATGAATGAATTTCCCTCAATTAGTATCATCAATAATATGTTCAATTAGTAAGAGCTACCATTTAAGTCATACCAAAAATTGCTGATGCAACCACCACGCCTTTACAAGAATCCATCTCAAGAAGGTCAGAATCATCAATGTCGAACCCCGTCTGACGGCCTGGTTTCACTCCTTTGACAAACCTTGTTGGGTACAACAGATTTTATTAAATAGATAGAAAAGAGAGATAGCATAGAAATTATTTTTACTTTTATATATTTTGCGAAAATGAATAAAACTGAAAGAGTGTAGAACAATCATACCCACAGTGCACGCTCATTGATTCTCTTATATCATACGAATCATTCCTCATTTCAAGAGAAGGATATCCACCGAATTCTGAACCGCCAAATTCGGACTTAGTCAAAGTTTCCTCATGAATATATGTTAAGTTTTTAAGAACAGGGGAAAAAGACGATGCATTTGGCATAAGAGCAACAGCATCTTCCACCGGCAGGTAGCAAACTGGACATGCTACATAAACAAACAGCAGATGAAATCCCCAATCACAATATATTTATATATATAAATATATAAATGCCAAGAAGAAGGTATATATCAACTTATAACGAATCTAAATACCGAGTAAAACACAAATGAGAAAAGATAATTTATAACTCACGACGTGGCCCTGTTCTTTTTTTATCTGCAGGTGGCGGAGGCAATGTGAAATGCTCACATGGATTTCCAGGTGGGAGCTTATATCCAGTAAAATATACAGGGGGTGGGGGTGGGGTGGGGGGTGGT